AGAGAGAGAGAGAGACAGAGAGGGGGAGAGAGAGAGAGAGAGAGAGAGAGAGACAGACAGGAGGAGAGAGAGAGAGAGAGAGAGAGAGACAGACAGGAGGAGAGAGAGAGAGAGAGAGCGAGACAGACAGGGGGAGAGAGAGAGAGACAGGAGGAGAATAAGAGCACATGTAACAGTAACAGCACTATTTTTTTATCAGATCACACTGTGAATTCAGACCTTCAAAAACACACACACACACACATACACTCAAAAGTCACACCTACATTTTAATGAACACACTACAAATGTTATATCACCGTCTGACTGTTATTCATTTTGATTTGTTTTATTGTCTTTTTGTATGTGTTTTTCAAACAGACCCCAAACAGAGGCAGCGTTACTAAACTGATTAACAGTCACAAAAACTTCTTCGTGATAAAATAGTTAAAGACCCAAGCGTGTTGTAATGATTATAATACTCACAGAATATTATGGCAAAATAATAAATGCATCTGAAGCGTTAACTATGAATATTTTTACAGGCCCATCGCTGGCGACTCTGGGACCCCGAACACAAACACAAGCAAGACAAACTTTAGGCTTAACATGTACATCCCAGATTCACACACACACACACTCACACCTGAGCCCGGAACTTTCCACCAACACCCCGGCGACCTCTCTGCTTCCCCTAACGACCGGTGGCTCCATACAGCCCATAATACTGGCCTCCCAAACCCTTGAGTGCTGCTTAACAACAGTACACTCCCAACACCTGATTAACCTGATCCAAAACACACACACACACACACACACACACGGAACAAGATTTCCCAGGAACAGGTGTGGCGTCTTAAGGCTTCTGGTAATGTTACACAATTGAGACGGAGCAGATTAGTCACTAACGAACCACAAGCCCCACTTCAGTTCAGCCTCATTCACTCGCACATCAAGCCCAAGACTTTCTCACAAACACACACACACAGGTTTCTGCCGTCTCGTTTAATAACCCTCAGCCCCAGATCCTACCGTTCGGCCCTTCATAGTGAAGCAGGGCACTGTAGACAAAACCTGCACCGCTGTCTGTGTCATAGCATCCGTCTGTCTGTCTCTGAGCCGTCTCTCCTGCTTCTTTCAACAAACTTCGGGGTTCGACGCTCTCCGGTGGGGCTCTGGACCTCTTTCTTCCTCTCTATCTCTCCTTTCGTCTTCCTGTCTTGTGAAAAAGGTGTTTGAGACGCCTCCCCCCGTCGCCCACGTGCCCCTCGCTCCCATCAGCATCAGCTCGTTTCGAAACGCTCGCAAGTTTCCGAAAACACAAAATCCCTCGCCCTCCGCTGCGAGCTGCGTCCGGATCAACGGCTGCGGCAACAGGAAGGATGATCGTCTGACGGATTTTTGCATTTTCCGTCCAATACTGCGCGTTTATTAATCACAACCAATCATCATTTGAGTTCGGGAAGGACAGATGGAGAAACTTCAATGGTTTCCAAGCCGGGTTAACTAGCAAAGGTGTGAAGAATCAAACACAAACAGCCTGACACCAGATGAGGCTCACACACACACACACACACACACACTCACTCTCACATACACACACACTCACTCACAGACACACACGCGCACACACACACTCACTCACTCACAAACACACTCTCACACACACACAGACAGACACACACACACACACACACACACTCACTCTCACATACACACACACTCACTCACAGACACACACGCGCACACACACACTCACTCACTCACAAACACACTCTCACACACACACAGACAGACACACACACACACACACACACACTCACTCTCACATACACACACACTCACTCACAGACACACACGCGCACACACACACTCACTCACTCACAAACACACTCTCACACACACACAGACACACACACACACTCACTCACAAACACACTCTCACACACACACAGACAGACACACACACACACACACACACACACACACACACACACCAACACTCACTCACACTCTCACACACACACACACACACACTCACTCACTCACAAACACACTCTCACACACACACAGACACACACACACACTCACTCACAAACACACTCTCACACACACACAGACACACACACACACTCACTCACAAACACACTCTCACACACACACAGACACACACACACACTCACTCACAAACACACTCTCACACACACACAGACAGACACACACACACACACACACACACACACACACACCAACCCCATGAGATTCACAACACAAAATGCATCTTAATAACCACAGATACACAAATAAATTAAAACATTAAATGAAGCAACAAGCAACGAAGAATCACTAAAGACTAGAACAAATGACCGTGACACTCACCAAATACAGCTGTGCTTGACATTAAGAAGCACATGGATTGTAGAGGAAAGATGTGAAGACAGAGCAGGACAGAAAGAAGAATTGAAATGTGGTGTTCAGAAGAACAAAAGAAGGAGCTGAAGCTGCAGGAGAGAAGAGCGTCACAGGAACTCCTGCACGAGCTGCAGAGCTTGGGTTTCATCTCACCGTCTCAGTCGTTCATTCTGGAGACTATCACACTTCTACACACACTCGTTTCTTTCTGAAAACTGCATGAAAGAGCTCAAGAACTTTATGATTGATGTCTGTTGGATCAGACGGTGTTTGAATCACGTCCTCAAACACACGGCTCTGAATCTGAACCGCTTCTGTTCTGAATTTAAACTTGATCTGTTCTGAACTTGAATTGGATCTGTTCCAGAATTTAAATAGGATCTATTCTGAATATAAACTGGATCAGTTGGATCGCATTCATTGCTCCACAGATTCTATAATGAACAGAACCGGCCGTGTAGCACACAATGATCACAAACTGTAAATATGAAAGTCTGGATCAGTCACATGGAAATATTCTCAGCGATGGTTTCTGTGAAATCATTGCCACTGAAAGCCACTCAGCACCTCCTCACATCATTAACAGACCATATACACAGTTTGCTTTGTTATTTATAATAAAAACCTACTACAGAAAGAACTTTTGCCATTCCAGCAAGAAAACATTTCTGACAGACACCCAGAAACTTTCCAGTTTACTTAGAAACAGAGCAGACGCATTTAAACCTGGAAAATCTGATCAAATCAAGAAGCCGTGCAGACAATAACTCTACACACGCATACAATCATTCACAACGACTGAACCTACACCCGTTTAAAGGAAAATGAGCTGAATGGACATTTAGCATGCCTTCAAATAATCTGCAGCATGAATGCATCACTCGTCAATTACTACAACGTTCTATCTCAGAATGAACAAATGCTTCTTTAGAGGACAGATAATAATAGCTTGAAACTTCATTATTATGCCTCTTCAATTATGTTTTCCTTCTTTAAAAAAAGTGTGGCTTTACATTAACAGCACATTTATACAAATGAAAAGTTAAAATCAGGGAAATTCTGCTTTGCACTTTTTGACAGAACTAAAAATGAGACAAATAAAAAAGAATCATATTTTCGATTATTTTGGTATTCATGTGAATAATTCACTGTCCTCAGTTCTGCCGTCACAAGCAGTGCAGAAATGCTAGTAATTAAAAAAATGCTTTAAATTGGTTTTAATTAACGTATGAAATTACAGCTGGTTAAAGGACCTTCTTTTCTCTCTTCGGTGGAACACAAAAGAAGATATTTTAAGAAATGTCAACATAATGAAAGACAGTGGGGTCTAATGTTGTTTGGTTCTTCAAATATCAGAAGAAAGAAACTCAAGCAGGTTTAAATGACATGAGAGAGAGTAAATGATGACAGAATGATGAACTAATCCTTTATCTTATATTATCAAGACTTACTCAACTTTTGGTCCAAAAAGTAAACATATACCATCACATACAGTACAATATCAGAAGTCCACAACACATAAAATCAGAGGAAACTCCTCACGATGAAGGGCAAAAATCTAACTAGACTGAGGGCCTTCATATACACACACACACACACACACACACACACACACATATATATGAAGAGTTCATTTGCAAAAACTCAGTTTTCAAAAATCATGTTTTTTCATTGTGCATTCTCAATCAAACTGCAGCTGGGTTATTTTGATTAGGTTAAAAAATAACTAAAAATACAGCTAACTGACACATTAAAAACATGATTGCATAATAAAAATTAGATTAAAAGAGTTATCCGTTTTGGCAAATAAACTCTTCATATATATATATATATATATATATATGAAGAGTTCATTTGCAAAAACTCAGTTTTCAAAAATCATGTTTTTTCATTGTGCATTCTCAATCAAACTGCAGCTGGGTTATTTTGATTAGGTTAAAAAATAACTAAAAATACAGCTAACTGACACATTAAAAACATGATTGCATAATAAAAATTAGATTAAAAGAGTTATCCGTTTTGGCAAATAAACTCTTCATATATATATATATATATATATATATACTACATGAATTTGATTTAAATATATACTATATTTATTTATTTTTAAATCAAATTCACTTCCAGCAAAAACAGAACAAAAAGTGTTCAAACAAAGATGAGGATATGCTCCAATGACATGTTTTATTATTTTATTTTTAAGGCATGGCAGGTCAGCTCAAAGGTCACCGTGGGCCGCCTCTGGTTTGAGTGTCTCTGCACTAAATGCACCAGACGATTCGATCGATTAGATCTCAGTCTCATCTGTGAGAGTGTGACGAGCTCCACACGACTCCTGAATCACTCAGACACGAAACACAGTGAATCAGCTTTCTTACAAACACACACACACACACACACACACACACACACACCTACAGCAATGAACCCCCCTCTGCCCAATGACAAACACGTACAGTAAAGAGACGCTCATCTGACAAGAAGCACCCACACCATCTTCTGCTCTTCCTTTTCTCATGTCCTCCGTCACGCTTTCAGAAAACACTCTGCGTCTCTCGCTCACTAACATCTAGCCATTTACAGCTGAAACACTGCATCATCTCTAAACCGTTCACAGCTGATTCTGGTTCTTCCCCGATCACAATACGACAATATGGTTTCCTCAGCGCGCTCACGCTACAGCAGGCCAAACTCACAGCGTGTGTGTGTGTGTGTGCAGTTTTCCATCAGAACACACACACAACATCAGCAGACGGCGCACAAATGAAGGGGAAATCTGAGATGAACACACTCAACACAATCAAGATCTCATCAGTGTCTGTGCATAAAACAGCTTCAGTCAGAATACTGACACAAACACAACTGAAAGAAACAATTAACAGCTCTAATAAAAATTAACCACAGACCACAACGAATCACATCTTAAACACACACACATAAATGAAGATCTCTCAATGATTTAGGCTATATTTAACTAGTCAAATTAAATGCAATTCAAACCCTACAAAAAGTTGCAATTGTAGAGTTTGATGAAATCATTATTTCGTGTCTTTATGGTCATTCTTTTTTCATATTCAAACACACACACTCCCAGGAAGTTCAGTGTGCATTTCAGTGCAGAAATAACATAAAGCTTCAGGCCTCTGAAAAATACAGCTCAATTTATATATATAAAAAAACAACTTGATGTCTCTAGGGCAGATCAACATGCAAAAAAAAAAAAAAAACACACACACACCTACAGCAATGAACCCCCCTCTGCCCAATGACAAACACGTACAGTAAAGAGACGCTCATCTGACAAGAAGCACCCACACCATCTTCTGCTCTTCCTTTTCTCATGTCCTCCGTCACGCTTTCAGAAAACACTCTGCGTCTCTCGCTCACTAACATCTAGCCATTTACAGCTGAAACACTGCATCATCTCTAAACCGTTCACAGCTGATTCTGGTTCTTCCCCGATCACAATACGACAATATGGTTTCCTCAGCGCGCTCACGCTACAGCAGGCCAAACTCACAGCGTGTGTGTGTGTGTGTGTGTGTGTGTGTGTGCAGTTTT